CTTTCTAACTTCAAGTCTTTTTATATTTATTTTAATACTAGAAGTCATCACACAACTCTTCTGGTCTTCTGTCATTAGTGTCTAGTGCATTATATCTGTTATTGATATGATCTCTAAAATCAGGTCAGGTATGTACAAGGTCATATTTTGGCTTTCATAAACTTGTTTCCACGATCAGTGCCAGCCTGAACTTGGTAATGATCAATTGATTGTTCCACAGTTTGCTGCCCGCCTTATTTGGGCTGCTGATGTGTAGGTTTTTGCATTTGTCTTTCCACAGTTGAAGTCAATTTGATTTCTATGTACTCTATTCTCTGTAGTCCATGTGTATAGTCAACTTTTATTTTGTTCAAAGAGATATTAGCAATGAAGAGGTCATTGTTTTTGCAAAATTCTACTGAGTGATCTGTATCATCATTTCTATCACCAAGACCATATTTTCCAATGACTGATCCTTCCTCTTTGTTCCAACCTTTGCATTCCAATGTACAGTAATTATGAATGCATCTTAATTGCATGTTTGATCAATTTCAAACTAAAGATGTTGGTAGAAATCTTCAAACTCATCATCATTGTCTTTAGAGTTTTTTGAATAAAACTTTAAAACACTTGTATTAACTAGTCTTCCTTGTAGATGTATGGATGTTGTTCTATCACAGACAACAGTATACTTCAAGACAGATCTTGAAATTCCCTTTTTGTTGATGAATGTGACACCAATCCTCTTGAATTTGTCATTCCTGGCAGAGTAAACAATGTGATTTTCACATTCAAAATGACAAATACGAATCCATTTCAACTTGACATTATCTAGGATATCAATGTTTATGCATTCCCTTTCATTTTTGACAGCTACCATTATTGTGGATTCAAAATTCATATAGCTCATGTTCCAATTATTATTTGATGTTTGTAGCAGTGTCTCCTTATTTTGAGTTGTGACACATCCGCAAGTGAAGGTGCTGAAATCTTTGCTCCATTTACACCATTATGGTCAATTTTACATTGAGGAGACAGCTGTCATACTTTGAATGCCTTCCAACCTGAGAGGTAACACCTGCTGGCAAACACTATATCTGACAACATTCCAGTGATATTCATAATGTTACAATATTGGTATTCTGGTGCTCTATGATAGTGCCCCAAGGTTATTCATAAAGCTTTCAGAAGTTAAATATTTGGAAGTGTTCCATGTCTCCTTTTGACAGACAAATGGTACTTTTGACCATATGTTTGGTGCGTTGTTTTTGTTTTCCTCCTGAAGGTGCTCTAGAGTCAGTTCTGAATAATAGCAACCATACGCACAACAGAAAAAAACAATGCCCGGCCTACACCATCCTCCCTGTGTAGCTATACTTGAGCCCATTTGTTCTGCCACTGTGCTACTCCATCTCACTGTGCCACTCCCTCTCATTTTTCACTGACCTTCCACTTTACCAACATGATGTCCTTCTCCAAGGATGGTCCCTCCTAATAACGTCTGAAGGATGAGAGATGAAGTAGCACCACTTGTAAGGAACACTCCATCTGTACTTCTTCTAGCACACACTTGGTTGTTATTCTGACAGTTCA